ATATGTAATTTTTCATTGAGAAGGTTTTTAGGCTATCAATTTTTCTGTAACTCGCCACTAGATGATGTGATGAAATCACTGAAAGATTCTATAAAAAATTAATAATATTAGCTGAAAAATAACAATTATATTAATAAAAAAAACTGAAATAACAATGAAATAAAAAGGAAAGCAACAACCAAAAAATCAAAGAAATTGAACTATTAACACGAGGTGAAAATTAAAAAATTATTAACAAGAAATGAAAATTTAAAAAAAATAAAATATTCCAAACCAATTTACTTCACCACGTTCCGATTGTTAGTATCCACAATCATCTTCGGGTGATAACTGGACTTCTCTCTTCCCTCTCACTGCTTCATCGGTCTTAGGAGAAGCTGACCGTTTGGCGGGAGTTGGTCGTGTTCCGCTTGATTAGAGGTTTCCAATCCAAAAATGTATTTCCTTGGCTATAAGCCTATTTTATTTTATATAAGTCAAATATTACAAATGTGGAATGTACTTAATTTGATACTTCCTGTTGCCTGACAAGTGAGCACTGATGTTAACGAAAGTCGAAAGCGCTTTGCAAGAATTTTAAAAATTATACACTTCAATACAAAAACCTCTTCGATTCATTAATTCAAATAAGTTTATTCAGCTTTTTCAAATCTTTTTTTTTTTGAAGTAAGGGTGATCAGATACTGTTGATATTTTATAACTATATCTGGAATATTTTTATTTGAAAGACATTTTTCATTAAAAGCAAGCTTCATAAATTATAAAGGTGACCGTTTTTCATGCCGGTGATAACTTTCGTTATGGAAATTTTTTTGCTGTACATAATAACTAAAAATATTCCTCATTTCAGGATTTGAACAAGTACATACGTAGTGAAGTCAATGGAGAAAGAGAACTTCAAATTATTCAATCCATAATTGGTTATGCCTTGGAAAGGGAGGAGTTGAGAGATGAAGTCTTTGTGCAGTGCATGCGACAAGCTACAAATAACCCCAGTTCAGAAGGGACTGAAAGGGTTTGGCTCCTGTTGTGTTTATGTGTGGTATCTTTTCAACCTTCCAAGCTTTTGTTTCGATACTTCTTGTCATTCCTTAAAAAAAATCTTTCTCAACCAGGACGAATAAGTCAATATGTGCAGTGGTGTTTGGATAATTGTAACAACAATAAAATTACTGTTAGGGAACATCCACCATCTTCTGTAGAAGTAGCTGTGAGTATTCAATTTCACTACCCTATTTGTCAGCAGAAAAGTATAATACTTAAATATGACCAAGCAATTTTTGATGGAATATATATTGACTTTATGAGTTGAGTAGCATTTCTTCTAATTTGTAGGCTATGAAGAGGTTGGGAACAATCGTATGTAGATTTTTCTTTCTCGATGGTAGGACTAAAGCTATTGATGTTCACCCAACGGACACAGCAGGAGATGCTGCTAAAAAATTGGCAGAACGTTTGGGATTGAGACATTTGGATGGATGGGCCATCTATCAAAGTAGACCTGATGGTGAAGAACATGTGAGAGCTCATCATTATTTATATGATATAATTGCACGATGGGAATTGTAAGTATAAAATTATACACACGAATGAAACATTTATCAGTTCTAATGATGATAATAATTTACATATTCCTTCACAGAATGAAAACAAGTACCTATCAATAGAAATAAATTACAACAAAATGAAAATTGTTTATTATGGAAATTTCGAGTTTTTTTTTTTCAGAAATCAAAATAAATTGATGCCTCACGGCGGATTAGTTTCGCTCGCTAGAAAAAGTGGTCAAGCAGTGAGTGGTGGAGAGAATAGATTTATTTTCAAGAGAAGACTATTTAAATCAAGTCGTGAACTCAGTCAAGACCCAGTTGAGATCAATTTGCTTTATGCTCAAGCTGTACACAGCATTGTGAAAGTAATTTTGAATATTGAATCATCATGATTGCACTGAACCAATGAATATTTTATTTTCTAGTGTGATGACTTTCCTGTGACAGAAAAGGTGGCTTTACAGTTAGCTGGTTTACAAGCACAAGTAGCTTTAGGAAATCCCAAAGATAATAACAAACTGGAATACTATACAGACATTGATACGTTTCTCCCTTATAGGATTAGTCGAACTAGAGGTGATGATGTGTGGGTAAGTTTTTTCAGAGAATGACAATTCTATGGATGTTACCTTGAAACTCTGATTACATTTAGAAGAGATGATGATTGAAAAATATGTATATGAATAAAATTAAATACTATAAGAAGGACAGGTTCAGTTGAATAAATTCAAAATACGTGATGGAAATCCATTATAACATATTCAAAAAACACATCAATGTGAGGTTTCCACTTGACACTGTATTGTAAAGATATGTAGCTGAACACGTGTTGTGGAACTGTTATGCGGAAGTCTCACACATTAAAACTGTCGAAAAAATATATTCAGAGTTAGTTATGATATAGTTGGGAGCAACATTCGTTTTTATGAACTTGTGAATCAATAAATGAAGTAACATAAATCTGATAAAAACAGGTCCACTTGAAAATGTTACCAAAATAGTAATTACTGTTGTTACTCATGGGTTTGCTAATAGGTTATAATTTATGCAGAAAATGAAAAAACTTTCAAACACAATACTTCATCTGAAAATAATATCGGCTTTTTGCTGAATAGGTGACAACATTCTGGTCACCTCGTTGGGTGTCATTAGCTTCTTGGGTAATTGCCTCCGATTCCTACATTTTAGTGGAAACAAAATATGCACAGGGAGAGATCCGAATATCTGACTACAGGCTCCAGCCAGAACCATTCTTTTATGTTAACACAACAAACTCAAAAGTCTACGGCGTCCCAGTCGACGCAGAATATAAACCCGTAAAATATACGATTTGGTATACCTACTAACTTTTGTCATTATTTCATTATTTTTTCTGGTCTTCATGTCTAGTTGGTTCTAATTAAAAAAAAGAGTAAGATCAGGAAGCAAGCATATATATTACAGAAATGTTGTCCTTTCCTGATAGTTAAGATATCTAGATTTGTGACAAAATAAAAACTATTCTGTTGCTTTTTCAGATTCCCATAATTGCTCAAGCTCATCGGCAGTATGGAGCAAATCGAACAGAACTGACGGCTAAAGCTCTCTACTTGTCCTGTGTAATGCAATATCCCCTATATGGAACTACAATGTTTTCAGTCACTTATCGGGGTTATTGGTCATATGGAAATGCTTTGACTTTAGGAGTTAACTGTGAAGGTATAATGTTGATAAAAAATGACGACAAATTCATATTGAACGAATTTCACTATCAAGATGTTGAAAGCATACTTTTAGATCCAAGTGACAGTTTTATAACAATAACCCTCCAAAGATATCTCAGTGACAGTAACCATAAATGTTATGTTTTTGAAACTGCACAGAAAAATGAAATTGGATCTTTGATTGCCAGTTATTGGCCTTCCTTGGCCCGTTGGCTTACAGAAAGCGAAACTCCATTGAAAAAAGTGAAATCAATCACAAATGAAGATCGTGTCAGACTTTATCATAATTTAGTCAACTGCAGGAGAGCCTTAGTGGACCATGACATTTTGAGAAAACCTCTTGATACATCAGGAAGTTTTCTTAGGAACACCCTTCGCAGGTTAAGTAAACATAAACTAGACAAGTTACGCCAAGAGCATGGAGGAGATACTGGTGAAACTTACAAAGGTTTTCACTATGCTTTCTGGGCTTTTAGTCGGCAGCAATTAACACAAAGTATAAGTAGAATACCCGAAGCTGATGAACAGGTTATGTTGCAGGTTTTCCAGATTATTTTAACTTACGCTGGATTAGGGCAAAATGGTAAGTTATCATNTCTCATTTGCTATCTTCTGGTGATATCTGGAGTTTTACAACTAGTTTAGTGAGGCGTTTGTTCAGACAGTAAGGACGCTTTACCATTTCAATGACTTCGCGAATTATCCGACCTTGTAGTGTTTTCACTGTGGCGATGGTCTTAGTGTTCGCAAAGTCTATATTGTATCCTGTTTCCTCATCATGTTTGGACAGGGCTGAGGATGGGTCAGATTTTTGGACAGCAAATTGATGATGTTTGGACAGGGCTGAGGATGGGTCTAACTTGAACACCAAGTTGATGTTCGTATACTCTATGTTACACGTCTGTTGGTCTGACCTGTTCTATGGCAATCGGAGCATGGAATTTCATATATAGCCTAGGATTCATTGACAATTGTATCCTTGGGAAAACGGAGGAATGTGGAAATTTTATTGTTGGCGGTGAATATCGTTTTTATGTTCTGTTTTTGAGAATTCGGCCAATTTTGTCAGTAACATCTTCAATGTAGGGAAGGAAAGCTTTGTGGGGAACTTTGTTGTCTTTTGGATCTCTGGGACTGGACGTAGAAGTTTGTTGACGTTGGATCTGTCAATTTGATGGTCTGTGCCAGCTCTTGTAGTTTGTTGTGGCGGTCTGTGAGGTTGATAGATCTGTGGACGAGAGAAATCAAAACGGAGTTGGTTTGTGCTGGATGTAAATCGTGTGGCACTTATTGGAATTTGTGATGAGGACATCTATCTGAACCAGTAAGAGGGGTTGTGGTCGAACGTGTTGTAACGAATTGAAGAATTAACTGTCTCAAACAAATTTATTTTTAATGATATTTCACTATCACAACTAATTTATATACAACACTTAGCAACTAACGCTTAATTTATCTTCACGGTTAGAATTCTTTCTTCAAACGCACCATTCACTTTCTAGTTACAGACTCCCTCTCTGAGCGAGGACCCAACCTTTTATATTGGTAACGAACGTTCTAGATACCTCTAGCGGTTTCGGTACTCATCTATTCCTTTCGTGGCGACTCGTCGATCGCATTCGTTTCGCGGTGAGTCATATGTTTGGTGTCTGATATAACGGTCAGGGCCGGCTTCAGATTCATTACATTGCCCCCTTCTTAAAGACGTTTCGTCCCGAAATGTTAGCCTTGGCGTGTGTCGACACCTGCAGGACTCCCCATATCTGCACTGTCAAGTTCGATGGAAGTAACACTCCACAGTCTTCATGCTCGGTCGTGGAAGATGGTTACCGCACACCAAAATCTGGATGCCGCTGGATCTGAAGATCGTTTCCAACATGCTTCTCACAATTCTCCAGTCCAGCCAGTTGAACCCAGAGGCTAATTTCGGGATTGCCAAGTCCACGAGATTCTGGTCGAGCATCGTCTCCTTCAGTCTAGTAAGACTCCTCCAGACATCTTCATAGGACGGTTTGTCTTGAGAATGCTTTTTGGTCACCAAGTAGAAGATGTTTCTCTGACCCACTGTCCACTAACTGAAGTAGTCCATGGCTACCAGGATGTATTTGTTCCCATGGTCGGACTCTGCAAAACGGGCCGGCGATGTCGATGGCGATTCTTTCAAAAGGACTATTCACGTTATACTGGCGCATTGGAGCTTTCGGTTGTATCCTAGGTCCGTTACTGGCAGCGCATACAGCACACTTTCTGCACCAGTCCTTGACAGTTAACCCAGTAAAACCGTTGTCTCACTTTCTGGAGGGTCTTCGTTACTCCCAGATGTCCTCCAGTGACTCCATCATGGATTTCTTTGAGCACCTCCCGTCGTCTACTCCTGGGTACCACTGTCTGGCTCCTTTCTTCTGCATCGTCTTTAGACTCCAACACCCGCTTCAGAACCCCGTTTTCCAAAGTAGGGGAGTTCCATTGTGCCCAGTAGGACTTAACCGCTGGCGAATAACCTGCTACCTCCTGCCACGATGGTCTTCGATTACTTTTCTTCCATCCGATGACTAAACCAAGATCTGGGTCTTTCTCTTGGTCTTCCTTGATTTTATTATCCTCCCAGTTGTCGTCTACAGCTGTTGTTCTACTAATAGCTACTTCCTTCTCTTCTGCTCGTCGACTGCTCGAGCAGTCATCGGGACATGGTCTCCGTGATAGGACATCTGCGTTTCTTACGGAGGCTTGCTAGATACAGGCTAACGATTTTTCCTTCTCACGGAACCTCTCTAGTTTTCTTGATTTGGTGTTGGTTCTTTGAATGCTTGGACATTTGCTACGCACATGTCCAATTTTCACACGGTTCCAGCATCTTATTTGTTTTCTTTCAGACAAAACTCCTTTTATCACCTTTCTAATAGTGGCCTCAATATCAGCAGGACCCTTTCCGTCTTCCTCCATAGTTTGAACTTTGCTCTGGCCCTTACAGGATTGTTCTTCAGCCTCAAACTTCAGAGCTCTTGCCAGTGCGTCCACGAGATGTTTGGGACGAGCTAGCGTCAAGGCCTGCCTCGTTCCTTGGTCGCGAATTCCATCTAAGAATGCCTGAACTGCTAACCGCTCCATTACGTTTTCCGGTATAGCAGGATATGCCAGACGGACCAATCGAGCTATGTCGGCTTCAAATTTCTATAGGGATTCTCCTGATTTCTAACAGCGGTTCTTCAGCTGTGAATGGTAAACGTGTTCTAGGTGTGCCTGTCCATACAGTAGCTCAAGATGCTTTATAAGTTGCTCCTAGTCTTACTGCTCTTGGGCCGTGAGGGTTTGCAAAATATTCGTTTCTTCTCCACGCAACGCCAATGTTAATGCTACTGCCTTTTCTTCTGCATTCCATCCATTTGCTCTGGCTGCAGCTTCGAATTGTCGCCGGTAATTTTCCCAGGGAGTTTTTCCGTCGAACTGTGGCGGCTTCATGGAGAGCTTTCCTGGTTCAGAACTGACTTTGACATCTTTCGGTAACCGTTTCTGTGGAGTGGGCAATATTAACGATTTGGTTTTGCAACTTGCTAATTGTTTCCTTTATCTCGCTGATTTCTGCCTGAACTCCTTTGATTTCCTCTACTTCTGTGTTCATTTCTTTCCTGACTTTATCTATCTCTATTTCGATGGTTCCTATCCTCTCTTTGAGTAGACTCGCCACTCCACAAAGTTTTTTTCTTTAAGCCTTCTGTATTTTCTAGAAGTTCTTCCTTCAAACTATTCGAATTCTCTAGAAATTTATTTTCCAAAATTTTCGAATTTTCCAGAAGCTTGTCTTTCAAACACTTCGAGTTTTCCAGAAGCTTCTCCTCCAAGCACTTCGAATTTTATTGAAGTTCATTTTTTAAACTCTTCGAATTTTGTTGAAGTACATCTTTCAAAATCTTCGATCTTTCAGCGATTTGGTATTCTCCTCGAGTTTGCTCATTATTAAACTCATCACCCCCAGAAACTTCGAATAAATATGCTTCCGGATCTTCTCCTGATTTAATCAAGTTATCCCATAGTCTCTTCTGGAGTACTGATTTCTTTCCGGAAGAATCTAGCTCTCTCTCCTCCAATTCTTGCTTCAATTCAGCGACATTCAAGTCCACTAGGTGCACTTTCCTCGAACACATTTTGTCTCTTATTGTCTATTTTCCACCAAACTGAAAATGTCCTCTTATTTTAATTGAGTCCGAAACACTTATTTATTTTCAGAAGTCTATTTTTCGCGAGAAAAGTCTATCAGTTTATGTTTCCGTAGTCCGGTACTGTCCACTTCGCGAAACACAATGAATCACCAGTCTCTACGCGAACAAATAAGTTATAGTCAATATCACCGTAATACAAAGAGTTTTTGTTTATTGATACCTGTTTGATATAGTGATTGCCTTTCTGGCTGAATTCACCGCTAGTTGGAAACGTGTTTGGTTTCATTTGTAAAACGGAAATTGAGGTGTTTTCTTCTTTTCACAATTGCCTGTTGACACCGATGCGCCTACGCCTGAGCTCACGCGACGCAAACGAGATTGTCTTACCTTCCAATACTAGTATTTACGATTTCGCCCACACCTACTCAATTTTCGTGGTAGTTTTACTTGACGTATTGTAGTTTTCTTTTAAGCGTCGTTACTACCATAATTTATGGCTGATTTAATTTGTGGTTATATACACCGCGCTCAACGACCTCTTGTATTGATATTTGAACATCGCATAATAGTTTGAATATCGCATTGTTGATTTAGAAGCGTTGTGGATCAACCCATGTAAAGTTAGGTTTACTAAATAAATCATATTGGGGATCTTTATCTTTTATTTCCAATATTAATTGGTAAGTTATTGATATTGTAAGTCACTCAGGGTATCTGGTGGGTTGAATTTACTTGGCGCCCATTTACATCCAATTTTAAATTTATAAATTCGTTGAACCCCTCCCGTTTCCACTGTTTGTCTTAGCCGCGGATACCCATCTGTCTTATTTGTTACCGACAGATGATTTAGTCTCCTCTTGTGGTTTGTGAGGTGACAACCTAACATCAGTAAACCTAATTCACGGTGAAATGGATGAAAACATCTCCTATTGGTACGTAATTCAACCCAATAGAGACGCTTCTCAGACAATTGTGTTTTCCTCAATTAAACCTGATTCAAAACGCATCCAATTGGAATTTTTTAAGAACCACGATTCAATTCTCAGAAGTTTTAATTAGGTTCAATGGGCTTGCGATTACAGGGCTTACATTTGAATTATTTTACGCCAACTTTTGTTAATTTAGTTACAGAAAATGCCTCAAAGAAAGAATTTCGACAAAAAGATTGGCAAGCACGCCCAGGCCCAGATAGAAACCGCGTTTTAATTAATTAATCAAGGTGGTTCAAGTATCCGTTTGTTTTATTTTTGTTTAGGGACGTAATATTTGAATTTGAAAAGATTTCCATTTTCAATAATATTTCCTCTGACTTACATTCTATCACGCTCAAGTTTTTATCCTGTAACAAAAGGGTAGAGTCATTTGCGTACATAAAAATATCAGCAGTATCAATAAATGTTGTTAAGTCGTTTATGTAAATTATGAA